AATGAGACCGAGGCGCCTGGGTGGCTCAGTCAGTTAAGCGTCCGACTCTTGATTTCGGCTCAGGTCATGATCTCATGGTTCATGCGTTCGAACCCTGTGTCAGCCCAGAGCCTGCTTGGGATCCTGTCTCTTCCTCTCGCTCTCTGCCCCCTCCCATTTGTGGGACTCTCTCTCTGAAAATAAATAAACTTAAAAAAGAAGAAAAGGAAGAAAGACAATGTTAAATGGAAGGAAAACTTCGGGGAAGGGGTCTCCTCTCTCGTATTTTGGTTTATTTTTTATTGAACTCTAAGAAACGTATCCCCCACCCACTACATTGATAAAGAAATCTTGGTAGAAGTGAGTTCACGGAAGTCTGTGGGAAGGAAGGATGAAACTTTGGAAGTAGGGAGATAAGCATCCTTTAGGCGGGAAAGGAAAGAAGAAACTAAGAGATAAGAAGCGATACAGAAGCCTCCAGAGTGCCTTGTACCTTGTGCCGCCTCCACAGTTCCATCCTGTCATAAGGGAGAGTGAGTGGTTTCCCTGTCCTGTCTTCCCAATCCAAGGCGCAAGTGTGAGCATGTGCAATGGGGTTGGGGAGGGGTGTGGAGAATACCACTTTCAGGGCTTCATGGCACCTCGGAGAGCTGCCTACTTCTTGCCGAAAACATCCTTTTTGTCTCCCGAAACTAAATGTGCCCCGTCTTCCCATTTAAAATGAGCCCTTTTGGGGTTTCTAGGTGGCTCAGTTGGTTGAGAGTCCAACTTCAGCTCAGGTCATGATCTCATGGTTTGTGGGTTTGAGCCCCGCAGTGGGCTTTGTGCTGACAGCTCAGAGTCTGCTTTGGATTCTCTGTCTCCCTCTCTGTCTGCCCCTCCCCTGCTCGCGCTCTCTCTCAAAAATAAATAAACATTAACAATTTTTAGGGGCACCTAGGTAGTTCACTGGGTTAAGCGTCCGACTTCAGCTCAGTTCATGATCTCATGGTTCATGAGTTTGAGCCCCATGTCGGGCTCTGTGTTGCCAGCTCAGAGCCTGAAGCCTGCTTCAGATTCTGGGTCTCTCTGTCTCTCTCTGCCCCTCCCCCGCTTGTGCTCTGTCAAGCTGTCTCTCTCTCAAAAAATTAATAAGCATTTTTAAAATGTATATATTTTTAATTTTAAATGAGTCTTCTTTATTCACATACCTCCTTTGTGCTGACTCTTCCCCTAAAAAAAAAAAAAAAAAAAGGTCATAAAAGAAACTCAAGTCATAGACACAGAATCCTAGAGTCTCATGGTTGAAGGGTCCTCAGAGAGTCAAGTGTCACCTGCAAAAGTCCAACCCTTCTGAGGCATCTCACAGTGTGGCCCAGGGCCAGGACCAGCACCCATCGGCATGACCTACAAGCTTGTTAGAAAGGCAGGCTCTCGGACCTTACCTCAGACTCTTGAATCAGGATCTGCATTTTTTAAAAATGTTTACTTATTTATTTATTTATTTTGAGAGCACGAGATAGAGCAGAGAATGGGCAGAGAGAGAGGAAGAGAGAAAAAGAATCCCAAGGAGGTTCTGTGCTGTCAGCACAGAGCCCGACGTGGGGCTCGAACCCCGTAGTGGTGAGATCATGACCTGAGCCGAAGTCCCACGAGAAGTGAGATCATGACCTGAGCCACCCAGGCACCCCTAAAAATTTTTTTAATATATAATTTTGAGAAATTCTTAAAATACACATAAGGGTTTTTTTTTTCCCCATCGTTGACCATAGTGCTTGTGAAGTGCATGGCAAACTGCGCCAGAAGACAGAACGCAGTAGCCCTGCCGTTCATTTACCCCGGGAAGAGCAACAGTGTGTGCTTTGCTTAGTTTCGCTCCACCTGTCTGTTCCGAGGGCCATGAACTAAAACCTGTGGCCCAGGTGGGAGCTCTTGAGAACAGACCCCCGCCCCCCAACCAGGCGGGCTGTGGAGAGAAAGAGTATGCTGCAGGCCAGCACTGGGCCTTCCTCCCATTTCCCCTACCCCCTCCAGACCTTAAACAGTGTCCTTTTCAAAATGGGGCCCGATTTCACAGACTCACCGCTTGGCTTCTCAGGGAAGATAGAATCCATTCCGTTTTTAGCCAGAAAACAGTAGGGAATACCCTTATGCCCTGAAGACATAACCCCTTCTCTTTCTCTTTTTGGATCTAAAGCTGTATTTCTAACGTAAGTACCTAACTCCATTTTTAGAAATAAAATAATCGGGCATTTGGGGAGTCATCAGTTGGGGCTGGGGAGTAGGGGGTAGAGTACGGATTTTCCAGCCACCACCCCTCCTCCATCTGCCTCCTCTTTCTCTGGAAAGAAAGCTCGCAGGAGCCTGGTGTTCTTTGTCTTTGACTGTAGATCAGCACTGTAAAACATCGCCACCTTCAGTTAAAACTGGTGTGTGTCTGCACTTTGCAAAACCACACTGAGCTTCCTAACACTTTCCAGATACCACCCAGGGTAAGCTCTCCCTGGTTTCAGTGCTTCTTTGCTGGGTGAGCCTCTCCACTGTCCCTTAACATGCATGTCTCTCTCTCCAATTCAGCACAGGAAGGGAGGGAAAGAAAGAAAGGAGCCTGGAAGATGGACCTGGAGTGAATGCAAGACTTAATGCACTCACGAGGTTTTGCTAATGGCAAAGTGAAGGTCAGCATACTTTTTACATGACAGAATAACTCTGAAACCATATACTTTCTTCAGACCCACCAACTCCTGTTCTGAAACGTAAACTGTACTTTTGAAGCTCAAAGTTTTAAACTTGTCAAAATATTGAGTGATTTCCTGATAGAACATGCCTCTTTGGTGAAGCGACTTTCCTACCTAGTGTAGTAAGAGCTTGAGTATTAAATGAGTTTTCACAGAACAAAGGGATGGGTAGAGATAGGGCACAAATTTATAGGAGCAAGTCTTCACAGAAGACTTGGGAAGAGCTGGAAATAATGAAACATGAAACTGACCCTTTCAAGAGCTGCCTGATACCAACAGCCACTTGAAGTCAGAACTTTAGAAGCAAATCAATGAATCTTTTCCAATAGTATTTTAATGTCTTAATGTGAATAAATCTTTGGTTGATATTTTTATAATAAGGACATGCTCAGTATTTCCCCTTCAGACTCACAATACCCTCAATAAAGGGCTTACGGCATCAATGAAAGCGATGAACAAGCAACTCCATGGGAACTTTTCAGAAACATGCATTCCTCACACGTGTGCCCCCCAATGTAAATGGCCCTACACACTTCTCCAAATCCAGAGTTAATGCCACCCTTGTTCTGGATCAAGTTACAGTCTAGTCTCCGAGGATGGTGTGGGGAGAAGTACCCAGCAGATTGTACACCCTCAAGACTCCAGACCCCATCTTCCTCTCGTTGTGAGATGGCATAAGTCACCTGTCACCCCTCCTTACAGAGCATCAGGTGTTGGCAATAAGCAGGCCCACAGCAGACTTCAGTTTACTGTGGGTTAAGGGAACTCTTGACTCTAATATTGACACCTCCAGTCTTTCAAAATGTCCCTCCCTTAAGTGTAAAATTATGTTGGAGAACTTAGCAGCTATGTCCGTGAAGGTCCTCAGGCGTCCGGTAGCTATAGATGTAAAGCACACTGTTAGGCACATTTTAAGGCACTTACGAGTAAAGCTGACCATTGTGTTTTTCATGGAAGATAGAATTTATTTAACTTCTAACAGTGAATAATAGGGGAACACTATTTCATCCTGACCATTTCTTTCTCCTCTTGAAGTCCAAAGCCAACTTTCTAAGATGGACACATAACTCCATATTTAGAAGAAAAATAAATGGGCATCTGGGGAGCCAGCATTGACGTTCAGCCTTGAAAATTGAATCCACTGTTGCAATAGCAAACTGTACATTATCTTCCTAAGAAAATACTAATTTATCAGTCCCAAGAGCCAAAGAGTTGTTCTGTGTCAGCAATCAGCTTAGCCTCATAATTATAAATTTGTAAGGATCTGTTGAAAGACATGGATCCAGAAGAATTATAGTGTTTCATAGTGAGTCACTTAGAATAGAGAGCCCTGTTATTTGTAGACATTCCATATAGTCACAGAAATTTAGAGATGGATCCGGTCTTAGCAATCATATAGTCTAACCCTTTTATTTTACACATGAAGAAACCAGGCCTTGGAACTTATTGTAGGAAATATATAAAAAGATTTCCATATGCTGCACATCTTCTAAATGTCTATCTTCAATACATCACTAACACCGCCTTTGGGATGTTCATCATGGTGTTCCCAAAATATGGCAAGATGGACTCATTGTTACAAGACTCTGATTTCTATACTATACTTTGCACCTTTGGTCTGGCATATTCCTTTCTTCCTTTTCTCCCTCCCCCCTCCATTTATTCATTCATTTACTAAGAGAGAGGCCCCTGAGCCCTATTATCTGTGAGATGCTGTGCTAGACAGATGGCCAGTTATAAACACAAGGAAGCTCATGAGCAGTCTGTGCCTCAGAGGAACTTGTCGAGACAGACGGTGAGACTGATGAATGGGTGAGTAGTTGCACAAGAGCTTCATAAATACCCAACTCTAGGCGTGGGCAAGTGTATCTCAGGGTGTTGAGAAGCACGGGGCAAGAGTTTCCTGTGAGAGTCTGAGGAAGTGCACCATGGACGTAAGCCTTGAGGGGAATCTTGTCAGATGAGCCTTGTCTCAGGCAGAGAAAGCAGTGAGGGCTTTGCTGGAGAGGGGGATCTTGCCCAAAGGCAGGAGCACTGAAGGAGGAACATGGTGTATCCAGAAACAGGGAGTTTAGCAATGACAGTGCAGGAGGAATTGTGTGATGTGGGAAGATGAGTGTTTAGATGAGAAGATACATTAGAAAATAAACACAGAGGCACCTGGGTGGCTTCGCTGGATGACTTCAGCTCATGAAGTCATGATCTCAGGGTTCGTGAGTTCGAGCCCCACATCAGGCTCTCTGCTGTCAGCACAGAGCCCACTTCAGATCCTCTGTCCCCATCCCTCTCTGCGCCTCCCCTGCTCATGGTCTCTCTCTCTCTCTCTCAAAAATAAACATTAAAAAAAATAAAATAAATATAGGCATACCTCCTTTTATTGTGCTTCCTTTTTATTGAGCTTGTCAAATATTTCATTGTGTTTTTCAAGTTGAAGGTCTGTGGTAGTGCTGTGTCGAGCACGTCTCTCTGGGCCATTTTTCCAACAGCGTTTGTTCGATTCATATCCATGTCACATTTTGGTAATTCTCACAGTTTTTCAGTTTTTTTCATTCTTACTATGTTCGTTATGTTATCTATCATCAGTGATCTTTGATGTTACTCTTGCATTTGTTTTTGGAGCGCCACACTCCATGGCCGTAGCAGATGGTAAAGCTAATTGATAAATGTGGTGAGTGTTCTGACTGGTGCACCGACCAGCCATTTTCCCATCTCTCTCCCTGTCCTTGGGCCTCCCGATTCCCTGAGACATTCCAGTTTCAGAATTTGGCAAATTAAGAATACTACAAGGACCTCAAAGTGTTCACATGAAAGGAAGAGTTGCATGTCTCCACTTCAAATCAAAGCTAGAAATGATTATGACTTCACTCATCTGTGGAATTTGAGGTACAAAACAGATGAACAAAAGGGGAGGGAAGCAAAAATAATATGAAAACAGGGAGGGGGACAAAATGATAAGAGACACTTAAATACAGAGAACAAACTGAGGACTGATGGGGTGGGGATAGGGGGCAGGGAAAATGGGTAATGGGCTTTAAGGAGGACGCTTGTTGGGATGAGCTTGTTCCCATACGCAGGGAATGGATCACTAGGATCTATTCCTGAAGTCATTATTGCACTAGATGCTAACTAACTTGGATATAAATAAAAAATAAAAAAGCTAGAAATTATTAAGTTTGTTGGGAGAGGCATGATCAAAAGCCAGGATAGGCTGAAAGCTAGGCCTCTTGCTGCACCAAAAGGCAGTCAGTCATGAAGGCAAGTACAAACTATTGAAGGAAATTTAAAGTGCTTCTCCAGTGAACACATGAAAGATTCAAAAGCAACACAGCCTTATTGCTGATGTGGAGAGAGTTTTAATGGTCCCTTCAGAACATCTCCTTAAGCCAAAGCCTCATCCGGAGCAAGGCTCTAACTCTCTTCAATATGTGAGGGCCAGGAGAGGTGAGGAAATTGCAGAAGAAAAGTTTGAAGCTGGCAGACATTGGTGCATGAAGTTTAAGGTAAGAAGCTTTCTGTCCCATAGAAGTGCAAGGGGGGACGGCACATGCTTAGGTAGAGGCTGTAACAAGTTATCCAGAAGATCTAGCTGGGATTATTCATGAAGGCGGCTACACTAAGCAACAGATTTTCAGTGTAGATGAAACAGCCCTCTAGGGGAAGAAGAGGTCATCTAGGACTTTTCATAGCTAAAAAGAAGTCAGTGCCTGGCTTGAAGGGACAGGTGACTCTTTTATTAGGGGCTAACATAGCTGGTAACTTTAAGTTGAAGCCACTGCTCATTTGCCATTCTGAAAACCCTAGGGCTCTTAAGAATTCTGCTTCATCTACCCACCTTGTGCTCTGCAAATGAAACAACACAACCTGAATAACAGCACATCTGTTTACAGAATGAGTTACTGAATATTATAAGCCCACTGCTGAGACCTACTGCTCAGAAAAAAAGATTTCTTTGAAAATATGACTGCTCATAGACAATGCACCTGGTCACCTAAGAGCTCTGATGGAGGAGTACAATGACCTGAATGTTGCTTTCTTGCCTGCTAATACAACATTCCTTCTGCGGCCTATGGATCAAGGAGTCATTTCAACTTTCAAGTCTTGGTATTGAAAAACTATATTTTGTAAGGCAATAGCTGTGATAGATAGTGATTCTTTTGATGGCTCTGGGCGACGTAAATTGAAAACCTCCTGGAAAGGATTCACCAGCCTCGACGCCATTAAGAACATATGTGGTTCATGGGAGCCAGTCAAAATATCAACATTTACAGGAGTTTGAAGACATTGATTTCCACCCTCATGGACGACTGTCAGGGTTTCTAGACTTCAGTGGACCAAGTCACCGCAGATATGGTGGAAACAGCAAGAGAATTAGCATTAGAAGTGGAGCCTCAAGATGGGACTAAATTGCTGCAAATCTCATGATAAAACTTGAATGGATGAAGGAGCAGAGAAAGTGGTTTCTTGAGATTGAATGTACTCCTGGGGAAGATGCCGTGAAGATTATTCAGTTACAACAAAGGAACTAGAACATGACTTGCGCTTAGTTGATCAAACAGTGGTAGGCTTTGAGAGGATTGTGTCCAATTGTGAGAGAAATTCAGCCGTTCTGCAAATGGTTTCAAACGGCATCACGTGCTACAGAGAAGCCATTAGTGAATCTATTGATGTGACAAACTTCATTGTGGTCTTACTTTAAGAGAGTGCCAGAGCTTCCCCCAGTCTGATCAGTCAACAGCCATCAACATCAAAGCAAGAGCCTCCTCTAGCAAAAAGATGGTAACTGGCGCTTTGCAGCAATATTTTTAGTTAAGGTCTATATACTGTTTTTTGGGCATAATGCAGTTACACAATTAATAGACTACAGTATAGTGTGGATGTAACTATTGTATGCACTGGGGAACCAAAAGATTCACTTGACTTGCTTTATTGAAATATTCCCTTTATTGTAGTGGTCTGGAACCAAACCCACAAAATCTCTGACGTTATGTCTGCATAAAAACTGCTGCCTCCTATGCTAAGGAATTCAGTTTCCCAAACTTTAGTAATTTAAGTGTTAATTCCACCATATGTGTCATATCCAAAGTTGTCTTATGTTATTTTTGCTCTACCTTTATACTACTCTTACTATTATCTATCTTACAGTTTCCTAAAATGCCTTGCTTTGAAACACACCTGTTTTCAAAAGAAACTTCACATCAGTATTGTAAATAGAAAACCAGCGTCAGGCACCTGGGTGGTTCAGGTTAAGCGTTAACCAGGTTAACCTCGGTTAAGCATCTGACTCTTGATTTTAGCTCAGGTCATGATCTCGCAGTTCATGAGATCTAGCCCCACATAGCAAACTGACAGTGCAGAGTCTGCTTGAGATTCTCTCTCCTTTCTCTGCCTCTCCCCCACTCATTCATGTGTGCACATGCTCTCTCTCTCTCAAAATAAATAAACATAAAAAAAAAAAACAAGAAAAATCAACGTCAATTGCAATAAATTAAATGTCATCATTAAAATGAATGTGACGAAAATAAAACGTTCCTGTTAAGTCTTAGCTTGTGAAAGTCTCTGAGCCTGAGACCTGCTGTCTCCTCATTTTTAAGGGAGATGATAAGTTTTGGAGAGGAGTTAAATTCATTGTAGCACCAAACTGAGATTCCTTAAATTAATTAGGAAGAAAAAAGGCAGTTGAATGGCATAAAGCTTCCTTACTTTCCTTTTAAATTTTTAAATGTTTATTTATTTTTGAGAGAGAAAGAGAGCATGAGCAGAGAAGAGCAAAGAGAGAGGGAGACACAGGATCCGAAGCAGGCTCCAGGCTCTGAGCTGTCAGCACAGAGCCCATCGTGGGGCTCGAACCCACAAACCGTGAGTTCACGACCTGAGCTGAAGTCGGACACTTAACTGACTGGGCCACCCAGACACCCTAAAGCTTCCTTATTTTCTAAGTCAGGAGTATTCATCATGGTTCCTGTGTGCCATCTTAGATACTACAAGGATATGCCTGTGACATAGGGGGAAATATCATAAGCAATACAGGGCCATCTGAGGATTTTGAGCTAAGAAGTGACAAAATCACACCTATATGAAAGGGATAACTCAGGACTACAAAGGGAGACCAGAGAAGTAGCTAGAACTTTGCAGCGCAAGGGTCCCAGCGTGGACTAGTCAGTGTAACAGGATGGATAAGAGGGACCAGACTTGAGAGAAATTTGGGATCAGGCCACAGCCAAATTTGGTGCCTGGAGGGATGAGACCCACAGGTCAAGGGAAGTGAAAGGCCAGCGATGCTTTGCAGATGGATGGCTTGAGAGACTGCATGAGTGGTCATGTGACCCAGGCCAGGTTTACAAAGACTACGCGGTAGAGTGTGTGTGCCCGATGAGGAGAAGGGGAGGGAGCAAGTAAGGTAGGAGAGGGGTAAGACCCCAGCTTTGGAACATCTACCTGTGACAAGTATGCACCTATCCTAGGCTCACATTAAATGCTTGTGGCAGAAATGGCAACGTGTGGATGGCAGGCAATTGGAGGCCACCTTGCTGGAGCTCAGGGACATCCCCACTGCCAGTTAGATTGGAAGAGATCTATACTGGTCTATAAATCAGCGTCAAAAACATTTGCACTTAACCTACCAACCATTTTAGAAAATTGGTGACATAATCAGGTAGACAGGTTTAAGGTGTATTAGACATGTTTACTTTCGTAAGATGTTCAAAATGAATCCATCCAACCAAGAAGTCATTAAGAACCTAGTTCTATAAAGCAGTTTGCTGAGAACTTTGAGCCAGAGAGAGAGAAATTAGACACAGACCCTGTTCTCATAGAGCTTGTAAAGATCTAATAAGATAAGAGAAAAAATTTTCAGGGATTTAAAGCTTAACGTACGAAGGCTTTATTCATGATTTCCAGAAAACCTATTTAGCCTCAAAATCTTTCCAGTAACTATAGTTAGTCTGAACTTTATTTCCATGTGTTTTAAGAAATTGATTATGGGGGCGCCTGGGTGGCTCAGTTGGTTAAGCATCCGACTTTGGCTCAGGTCATGATCTCACGGTTTGTGAGTTCAAGCCCCGGGTCAGGCTCTGTGCTGACAGCTCAGAGCCTGGAGCCTGCTTTGGATTCTGTGTCTGGCTCGCTCTCTCTGTCCCTCCCCTGCTCACGCCCTGTCTCTCTCTGCCTCAAAAATAAATAAAACATTTAAAAAATTGAAAAAAAAAAAGAAATTGATTATGGTGTTGGGGTAGAACAATAGTATAAACGAAATTTGGAGTAGACTTACAGAACTGTAAGTTAAAATCTTTTCAATCATAAGTATTCCTTTTTCTTATGTTGTGCTTAAAATGCTCATTTTCCCAGCTTAGGAGAAACAATATAAAGTTTTGTTTTATGTATAGAATAAAATTTCCCTTCTTCCTCAGATGAGTATATATAGTAATAAATTAGAGCAGTCTCATGAGAGTCTCTTAAACAATCAGTTTTATGTAACTGGGATTTTTTTTTTTCCTGGTCATCAAGACACAGACTAGAAAGCATAGAGTTCACCCTCTCAGCCTAAAAAAGAGTCATACGTTTAAATAAGAGGAAGGACAACAAGCCTAATGTTGATGCCTCTTCTTCAGTTTCTAGACCCTTCTGTGGAAAGAAGTGTTTTTATAAGACTCAGACAGAATTCATTTCCATAGAGCATTCTTAATGGCTCCTGTCAGTACAAAACAGCTGGGAAACATATGGTATCCATTTCCCTGTATCACTTGGAAAAAATTTCACATGTAAATAAAGCCAACATAAAAGAGTAGCCCTTTGAACCCACGACCTTATACAATACATAAATGTATTGGCACAATGCGCTCGTTGTATTGGTCCACTAAGTTATGTGACTTTAAAGGTTTTTATCACATCCTGAGATGCACATTTTCGAGAAGCTTCAAAGGAATCAAGGTAATTGGCAAAATATTAGCAAATACCATGCCTAACAATTAGTATGTATTCCTGAAATGTTAAGGGAGACACACACACATGCGCATGCGCACACACGCCACTGTAAGCTTTTTAGAAAAAAATAGTGGATGAAATTAAAGGCATATTTACACATTGTAAATTCTGTGTCTGCTATCTCTCTGCTATTTTATAGGGGTAACCATGTGTTCTTGAAAGGAAGAGAGAAAAGCTTGGCGGAAGTTTCTGGCAGACAATTTTTCATAGCTTCACATTTTTAGGGAAAAATGGACCTATAAAGGATAGGAAACCTTTTAAATATATAATGGACCAACTGGAATTAGGCTTTGCCTTTGCATATTTACTTTTCATAAATAACTTTAGAAGATCCAACTCTTATTGGTGATTATCACTCCTCTGAGTTTATTAACGGGGCTTTCGTCCCCTGTGATATTAAGCTGTAAATCCCTGAGAAGGATGCGCTTTGGGCACTTCGAAGGAGATTTAATGCGTTGCGCAAAGTGAGATTCAAATTCAAATACTCGCGTTTGTTAATTGTATTCTCTGTGCCAAGTACTGGGTACAGCTTAGAAGCAGAGCCAGCGAAAAAGAAGAGGTGCTGCAGCTTAACAGCATCTAGATACCTCCCTTCCCTCCTGGACCATTCCTCGTTAATACCTGTCCCTTACTGGACAGAATCCAGGCTTGTCGCCACAGCTCATAATGTTCTCTTCTTAGACGTTAAAGGTCTCAGAGCCATAATTCCGCTTAGTGCAGACCTTCTGAAAACCTGTGCGAAATTATGGTCTCTTTTGGAGGAAAGAACCATCCACCAACAATTACATCGCATTCAGGCTCAGAACACTTTCTCTCACCTCCTTAACTTACTTCCAGAACTTCTCTGAGTCCTTTTAGATATATCCCAGTAAGAACAAGAATGACCAGCGATCTAAATTTGGGGAGCTTTTAATGACTTGTATGCCACTTTCACCCAAGATTTAGTGGGAGCTGGGGACTGTCATAGAAGTTACAGACCTGAATACACCCCACCTCTTTAATTCTTTGGTTGTGCCCAGTAGCAAAGAACAGACACAAGCACATGCTTTGGGATTAAATACTTCCCACCAGTTGTTCCAGAAGAGGAGAGAGAGAGCTCCTAGTTGGAAGGCATGTCCTGAAACCTCCCCCCTTCCAAGGGGGATGGTGTAAATGTAATGGAAGAGGAGGAGGAGGGGTCCATAAATCAGTGACCTACAAGTTTCCAAGAGCTGGGTCATCGGTCTAGTCAGGGGAGTGTCCCAGAGAGGAGGCAGGATCATCACAACGGAGGAGACTGGTGTCCTGTCACCCTGCACCACGAGAAGGCACGGGGTTGCCTTTCATGAGGCTGACTGGGAGAGATGGTGTTCTTATCTTCAACGTCCAGACACATTGCTCTTTCGCTGGACGCTCCATCTCAACCAGACCCTCCCTCAAAGACAAACCATGCACTTTTTATCTGAGCTTCGCAGAGAAATGAGAAGGAAAAAAAAAAAACAAACAACCGCTAACCTGCACATCTCGCTCTCCCTTTGTAACTTCCTCTCCTCCTGCTTCTTCCCAGCTTTGCCAACAATGGAGGGCAGCTTTGAATCTTCCCGCGTGTTCCGTTATAAAGTACAAATACATTATGTTGCTGTGTGCATATGCCAGAAAGCATGGTGAAATTCCCCGAGCGACGGTTCGTTGGGATACTCATCTGTGGGAGAAAATCACCCAGTAGGTCACAGTTTGAGTTTACCCAATATTAAATAACTTACCCCTTCTTTATATGAGACTTCTTAAGCTTTAAGGATGTGCATGTGTGTGTGCACGCACATATACGCATGTGTGTACGTTCATCCCTTGTCTCCCTAAACTAGTTTGGAAGTTTATTTAACATAGAGGATTCTATCTCCAATTCTGCTTCTCCAGGTGGTGACAAGTCTCATAATACTTCCAAAGAGGTATAGCCATCCAGGGAATGAACCTAAAAATCTGTTGGGGTTTGTTTGTTTTTTTGGCTGTCTCCTTTTACCATGCTTCCTACTTGAGTTTATTTTGAGCCAATATGCCATCACTTTTATCACTCACTGTTTTCTAGTGGTAAGTATGAACCGTTTGTTTTGGGATATCTTGTGTTTGATTTGCCTTCTCCCTACAGGTGTCCCCTTAGGGGCTTTCTTTGAACATAACCTGAGTGGTCTATGTCTGGCCACATGGCCAAGATACCTTCAGTGTTTCAATGTAATGCTCTCCTCTTTTATATATTTCAAAACAGTTTCTAGTTCGAGCTGGAATTGCAGTGTGTCGGCTCTCATCACAAACACACAGAAGCCCACAGGCATCGCTGACGTGTACAGTAAGTTCCGTCCCGTGAAGCGAGTTTCCCCACTGAAACACCAGCCAGAGACTCTGGACAGCAATGAAAGTGATGACCAAAAGAACCAGAAGGTGGAGTGCCAGAAAGGGAGTGATTCAGAGCCAGGCCCCCCACCTGAGGAGCTCAGCCCTGGAGATGGAGACAGTGGCCCCCAAAGTAAGAGCACCGAGCCCAGCACCTTGCTGGGTGAACTGGAGCATTATGACCTTGACATGGATGAGATTCTGGATGTGCCTTACATTAAATCCAGTCAACAGCTTGCCCCTTTTACCAAGGTGACTTCAGATAAGAGAATTTTGGGTTTGTGCACAACCATCAATGGCCTTTCTGGCAAAGCCTGTTCTCCCGGAAGTGCCGAGAGCTCACCGTCCACCCTGACACCATTCTGTGTTCTTTCTCCCGTGAAAAGCCCTCACTTGAGAAAAGCGTCATCCATCATCCGCGACCAGCAAAAGCTCTCTGCTGAAGAGTCTGAGAGCTCACCGCCTTTGGTTAAGTGTGGCTCCGCATACGAGCCTGAAAACCAGAGCAAGGACTTCCTAAACAAGACCTTTAGTGATCCTCATAGTCGAAAGCGCGAGAAGGCAATGCCAGACTGCCAGCTCAGGGACTTCCATCCACAGTCCTCTGCAACAGAACCCAAAGTGGAAGAGCAGATCGGGGGTGTGAGCTGGACCAGCTCCCAAGGCCCAGAAGAAAGGAGTGAGTATCTGAAAAAAGGGAAAAGCATCTTGAACATCGTTAAAGAAGGACAGATATCTCTCCTGGTGAGTATGATCTAATTCGGTAATCTAGAGACTCCAGTTGTACCAACTCCTTCATGAGTAACAGAATGATGAGTGTTTGTTCCCATGCCGCCTTAATCTTTACTCGTAGCTTTAGTTTGATGATGTGCCTTTTGAAGTTTAAAATCCAACTTTAGATTAGTACCAGGGAAGATAAACAGCTATAGAGGGAGTGTTATTCCCCTTTAACTTTGCAGGACTTTGACTGAAATGGGACACATAATCTAAAACAACACAAGTCTAGGGGCACCTGGGTGGCTCAACCGGTTAAGCGTCCGACTTTGGCTCAGGTCATGATCTCATGGTTAGTGAGTTCGAGCCCCACGTCGGGCTCTGTGCTGAGAGCTCAGAGCCTGGAGCCTGCTTCCGATTCTGCTTCTCTTTCTCTCTCTGCTCCTCCTCCACTTGTGCTCTGTGTCTCTCTATCAAAAATAAATAAATGTAAAAAAAAATAATTAAAAAAATAAAACAAAAACACAAGTCCAGCACTTGCTTTAACATGACTCTTTATGTCTTTCTTTTCCCTTTTCAAATGGTCCCTAATGTTCCCACTCACTTACTCGTGGGGATGTGTGTGTTCCTTGTTGATGGCGGACCTGCCAGGTCCATGAACAGAGGGTCTTCTGTTTTATCCTGATCATTATTCAGAAAAGTTGGACCAGGACGTTTAAGAACGTTTGCAGATAGAGCTTACCCTAGAGCTTGGTTGCCCTCTGACCTACATGGGGCTTTTACTCAGTCCAGCTCTGCATGTCTAGGGAGTGCAAAGAAGCTTTTCCAAAGACTCTAGTCACAGAGTTCACATGATGTGTAAGAAAAGCCTGTTCTGCCTCGGCTCAGAGAGAGCTCAGCCGAAATCACACCCCATCTGCCTGCATTGTTCTTTTCTGGCTTCCAGACTTGGATCAAACAGTAGCAAGCCTGGGCTGATACCATGATGTTAATTAAAGTCTCACTCAAGAAAATCATCGTATCGTGGCAGTGCGATTCCACTTAGGGTAAAGCCATACAGAGATAAGTACAATGTGCTTGGTCCATTATCCCAAATCTCACTGTTATAGGATAATAGGATTGAATGGTTTTACCAAATAAAGTAATAAAAAAATGTTTTCCTGCTGAAAATAGGTTTTCCATTTCTCCTGGCTCTTTCTCTCTTTTTCTTTCTGGTTCATTTCTTCCTTTTGTCCATCCCATGTTTTCATGTTTCCCGAGTGATGATACCTCTCAGTTCACCCAACAGTCTCTGTCAACCATGGAACTAACACAGGGAACTAAGCTTCACTACAGGTGAGAAAATCAAAGTCCAAGTAGCGTCCAGGAGTCTGTCTGGGGTGAAAGTGTCTAGAAGAACCCCGTGGTGGCGCTAGTCATGGCAGCCATCATGAGTTTGCAATGAAAGCCAATTCTCTGTAGTTCAAGGCAGATGAGATGCTTGAGAGAAGTAGTTCCTTCATTCAACAAACCTACAACAGAGAATAAAACACAGTCCGGCTGTCAGCACTTAGCAGTCGAGTGGAGTAGACAGAGAGGGAATTTGCCAATCACCATAAATATCATTGCAGTTGTTTAGAAAGCCAGCTCGGAGTCTCCGCAGTCTTGTTGACCTATCCCAGTCTCCATGTCTCCCATGAAGATAAGTCTCTTGAGAATTCATGTTCTCAAGGGTAGCAGAGCAAACTCTGTAATGGGCAATCATCAGAATTGATGGTAAGGAATTTTGACTTACTACATCCCCAGGATTGGCACCAGAGCTTCCGGAAGATCATCTCTTCTTACCAGTGCCCACAGCAGAACCCCCACAGCATCTCGTTCTGATTATTGACTTAAGTGTTCTAATCTTAACTCTTTGTACAGCCCCACCTAGCTGCTGACAACCTAGACAAAATTCACGACGAGAGTGGCAACAATCTCTTACACGTGGCCGCATCGCAGGGACACGCAGAATGTCTGCAGCACCTCACGTCTCTGATGGGAGAGGACTGCCTCAGTGAGCGGAATACGGAGAGATTGACTCCAGCAGGCTTGGCCATCAAGGTGATCGGTTGGGGCTGCGCCCTCCACCGCTAAAAGTCGGGTTGGGGTTTTGGGGTTTTTTTTTTTTAGGTCTTATTTTCATTTATTTTTGAGAAAGATACAAAGAGCAAGTGGGGGGTGGGGGCAGAGAGAGAAGGAGACAGAATCCCAAGCAGGCTGCATGCTGTCAGCGCAAAGCCGGACATGGGGCTCGAACCCACACACCGCGAGATCATGACCCATGACCGGAGCCAAAATCAAGAGTCAGACACTTAACTGACTGAACCACCCCGCTGCCCCTGATTGTTGTTTTAAGATTCCTAGTGAGCTAAGTCAGACACATGAGTGTAGGGTGGGGAGGGGGGAGCACAGTATACCTAGTAAATGGCAAATGAGCATATGACATTTAAGATAGTAACCATTTCAGTTACTAACTGCTTTGAGATTTGGAGACTACATTCCAATTTATTGTGCAATGAGGGTAAGCTTCGAGTCAGCTAATAAAGAGGAAGTAAAATGATCTATTGCAGTTCTCAGAACTATTGTTACTGCTGGTGACTGCAATTCAGATTCTTAACCACACCTGGATTTATCTGAGACGGTTTCATTTTTTTCCTAATGTGAATATAATGAGCGAAACAAATGAGGAAAAGGTGTATTTTAAGGAATGATAGCTCTCAGGAGTATTTCAGATAATAAAGCAGGCTTCTAATGGATCACATCTGAAGTTTAAATGTCTTCAGGACCCAAAGTTGTTTAGAGGGTCAGTGCCGAGTTTGAGTCTAGCTCTTGGTGGAGCACAGTATGCTGTCTGTCAAAATCTATACAAATTAATGCCGACGGGGAAAGAGTTAAAACCTAGAAATTGTCAGTCAGGGAAACATGGTCTTTTATAGCACTGCAAGTGCGTGCCTCTGTAAAATATAACACATCGCTAGAAGGTTAGCTATTAAACTAAAATTACTTTTAAGATCTTTGGCAAATAAATGTAGAATTCAGTCATATTTATGAAGAAGCCAGAAGTGAAGTTCAGGGAAATATAATACAGCCTGTGCTTCTACGTATGTGTTTTGCTAGTTATGTCTTCTAAAAGCTGAATGATCATAATTTTTAGAAATGGAATTACTTTTGAAATTTACTAGGGGAACTTGCTAGTTAAAGAAATCTGTTTGTGAATTCACCGGAGAACATGTTACATTTGAAAAACAAGTGGTTGCTGGCCTGCCCCTCGCATATCTTTTAAGCAAATCTGAATTTTTGCATCGTTAATTTATTTACCATGTGGTAAAGTTTTACGTATTACAAGTTGCTTTCTGTTTTATTTAATTTTACTCAATGATAATGTACTATTGCAAAGATGCTATAGAAAATAATATTTTTTTTTTATAAAATAAGAAATCTATGACCTTGGTAGATATCGCTTTCCTTTAGTGAATTTTGCCATGTCACATTAAGAGCGGAACTGAAGGCAGCCATCATGAAGAAAGAGAAATTAGATGCGAAGTCAGGGTGCATCATAGTTGAGTTCAACAATGTGTACCAAGTCCAGTAGGTACTATGTTAGATGAAGGCAATTCAGATTTGAATGAGACGTAGTCCCTTTTCTTAGGGAGCTAATAGCCAGATAGATTCGGCAGGTAAGTTACCAGCAATTCAAGTGTGAGGTGGCGAATTCAGGATCTAGTCCTAGATCCGAGTCCTGCAGGAAGGCAGGGCTTGGGTCTGGTCATCAATGGACATGAGTCAGTGATGAATAAATTATTGTTGCATGGCCAATAAATATTGACATTTGCCTTGCTGTATGAGTGTTTATAAAATACAGGTCTTATTAGTTTTTCTAACTAATGTTAGATTATGGAGTATATCTTAGCTACATAGTTGGAAGAGAAAGGTTTTTTTTTCTTTGTTTATATCCCTTCATGCTTGTTTTCACAGATTAAGAGTCTTCAGAGTAGGACAGTACATAAGAAACTTGGTGGCATTTCAGCCACCTGGGTATAAACTCTTTCTATGGTTTCCATATTGTTAGTCCATTCTTAATAAACTGCTTCAGTCAACACACTGCTATCATATAATCGGCATGGAAACTTAAGCTGCAGGGCATTTGGGGACATCTGGCTGGCTCAGTTGGAAGAGTGTGCAACTCTTGATCTTGGAATTGTGAGTTCAAGCCCCACGTTGGGTGTAGAGATTAATGAACAAGAAGAATAAGAGTAAGGGTAAGGGTAAGAGTAAGAATAAGAATAAAACTGTAGTGCATTTTGTTTTTTTATTTTAATGAAGAACACATATCAAACCCATAAAACTTAAAAGCTCTTATTTGGGGTCTCAGACTTTTCATATTTTTACTTCCAGGCAATGATATGAGAAAGGGAAATCTTCTATTTCTTCCTTTAATCTAGAATTTACAAAAGCAGTAAATACAGATATTTTGTGAGTGCCACCCCCTTTGGAAATTGGTCCCGACACAAATCCTGCCTCAGTCCATTCAGTGTAATTTGACAGACGTTGGTGAAGTTGAGGGAGTTCTAAGAAGTCATCATTCTTTTGTTTTAGGACCTTGTTTTGAACACCAGTGACCAGCCGATGGTGTTTCAGCTCATTAAACATAGGTCTGAGAGCCCTGCTGTTATTAAAGAGAACAAACTCGGTACAAATGGCAAAAGTTGCTGAGATAATATGACTGGGCTGACAGGAAGCAAAGTCAGAGATAGGATATCACATAAAAAGATTACCTGAGGAAAGCGGCTTTGAAGGCTTAAGAACTCCTCTCCCCTCCACTTAAACTCCTTAGATGGAACATAATAAATTCTTACCAGTTACATGCAGAATTTATTGAGGGTTTTCTGGGGAACCCAGCACTAAATACTGTGGCAGTTCAGCGCATTACTGAGTCCCCTTTGGGAACAGTTTGGCAAAAATAACTGGAAAGAAAGATTTCTATAAGGTGAGAGCAGTGTGTTTCTCAAATAGGGCCAACACGATACATTATTTTAGGAGCTAAACAGACATGGAATGAAATACCCTTAATTTCTTTTTCATTTCTCATTCAGTCCTTTCTGATCAAGCTCAAAGACAACATGTTGGTCTGGTGAAAAAATGACTTCATCCAGTTCATCCAGTGAGTGACCCCAGTCTCAGAGACTTCAGGCAAACAGTCTCCTGCCAGAATGTAATAACATTTTGTTTGTTTGTTTTCTTGGTATTTCTATTTCCGGCAAGTGATGCTGCGTTCAAAATCATAGTAGCAATATATTTCCTTCCACCTTTGTGGCTGCATTTTGTCACTTAATACATTTATTTCAACATCACCTTGTGGAATAACTAGACCTAACAGACATCTAACAGAACATTCTAGCCAACAACAGGAGAATGCACATTCCCCCCCAAGTACACATGGGACATTCTCCAGAATAGACCATATGCTGGGCCAGAGAACAGGTCTCTGTAAATTAGGAAGGATTGAAGTCATACAAAGTATGCCCTTTTAACCATAGTGAAATGAGGTTTAGGAGTCAGTAACAGAAGGAAATTTAGGGTATTCACAAGTGTCTGGAATGAATAGAATAATTATTATCATGTATCCAGAATAATCACTCCAGAATAATCACTTATCAAAGAGGAAATTACAAGAGACCCTGGAAAATATTTGGTGGTGAATGCAAATGCAGTATATTATCATTTAAGGATGTAGTGAAAGCAATGCTGAGGATGAAATGTATAATTGTAAATGCCAGAATTAAAAAAAGAAAAGGAAAATGATCTAAAGTAATAGCTTAGGGGCGCCTGGGTGGCTCAGTTGGTTAAGCACCCCACTCTTGATTTAGGCTCAGGTCATGATCTTGGAGTCACGAGGTCAAGCTCCTTTTGGGCTCTGTGCTGGCCGTGGAGCCTGCTTCAGATCCTTGGTCTTTCTCTGTCGCCCCTCTCCCCTCTCAAAAAAATTGTTAAGAAAGAAAGAAAGAAAGAAAGAAAGAAAGAAAGAAAGAAAGAAAGAAAGAAAAGAAAGAAAGCTAACAGCTTAATCTTCTATCTTAGGAAACTTAAAAAAAAAAGAAAAGAAAACTACATTTAAAGCAAGCAGAAGAAATTTGAAAATTCAAGCAGAAATAAATGCAACAGACAACAGGGGAAAAAAAAAACAACAACAGAGAAAGTCAACAAAACCAATTCTAGTTCCATGAAACGATTTTTTCAAAAATGAGTAAGCTTTTAGTTAGACTAAGACAAAAAGAGACAAGACTCAAATCGTTAAAGTCAGAAATGTTGCCGTATGCTCCCGTGTTCTGCATACGTGCTGCTTGCTCTGAACGGTCTTGCCTAGCAGATGCTCGCCACTATTCTCCTTCCTTTGTTCATTCAGAAGGAACGGAACGCATGGTGTCCGTGGCTTGTTGGGTGTTGATTCATCCTGGTAGGGCACAGTTGGCTTGCTCAAAGCGTGCAGTCTGAAAAACATCTGCATTGAAGGATCCATACACGAAAGGATGATGGGTGGGGTATAGGGAGCCCAAGAAGAAAAGTGCAGTGTCCTGGACTAAGAGCAGAGCACTGTTACCGTCTGAGAGCCGGGGGTGCCAGCAAGACAGGGCTGAAGGAAGGAACTGGCTGATTTTTGACCTTTGACTGGTAGAGGGACTCAGCAGCCAGTGGCAACCCCATAGGGGTTGGGGAAGCCAGGAACAGACAGGACCTCAAACTCCCTCTCTTTTCGTGGTGTCCCACTACCATTCTCCATCAGCCAAATCTGGGGGCAAGGGAGGCGGCCCATACAGACCAACCTCCTCTGGCAGCCAGGAGGGCAGCAGAGGGAGGAGACAGATCAGTGGGGACACCTGGAAGCTCCTCGGCCCACACCTGGCCCTGCTAGGTTCCCCCAGGGGAAGAATGGTCTCTGCCTGCGAATAGTTGTGAGTTGACTACTTGAAATTCCAATATGCAAATAAGTGTAGATGAATAATGAGGAGATTACCTCCTGCATCTTATGTTTAGAATACGCTTCCCACACTCCATGACGCGGTGGCTCTTTTCTCCTGGTCTGAGGCCCCACCCTGGGCAAACCGGGAAGGCAGCTGAACGTCTCGCTGGTGTTATAGAGGATCTAAAAGAGCGTGCTGCTAGTAAGAGGTAATAAGTGTTGTGTGCCAAGGACTCTTACATGCTCTGTCTCATCTGCTGCTCCCAGTAACTGTATGAGGTCATTATTACTATCCCTGCCACTTCACAGAGGAGAAAACGGACTATCAGAGAGGGGAAGCAACTTGTTGGAGGTCTTGTAACTAAGTAGTGGATTCAGGATTTAAATCCATTCCCAAGTCTGGATCCTCGTGACTAGCTTATACATGTCACGGCTGCCTTCCTGGTTTGCACAGTGTGGGATCTCAGCACTGGAGGAAAGAGCCAGTGCGCTTTGGGGACGGAGTCCCCAAAGCCTTCAGTGCAGGTAGCATTGGAGCCAGTATAATAGGATTATTTTCTTTCTTTCTTTTGGAATCCTGCCATTTCAAATTCTCAAGGGTTAAAGCCTATTCTCAGAGTTAATGAATAAACGGATATTGGTATATTCATACAATGGAATACTTGGCAGCGGTAAAAAAGAACAAACTTTTCATACAAGCAGCAGCACGGTGGACTCTCAGAGGCATGAATGCTCATAATAAAATAAAAATCCTATCAGTGGTTGCCTGGGGCAAAGGTGAGGACCTGAGACCCTGGAGTCCTAGAGACTGGGGGGAGTGGGGGGGCTGGAGATGTTCTATATCTTGATTGGAGCAGTAGTTACAAGAGAGTATGTATCTGTTGAAATTCATCAAACCACATGCTTAAAACACGGTAGGGTATGTTTTATAGTATTATAGTATTGAATACCTCAATACAGTGATTTAAACCAACTGATTAAGTTTATGAAACTGCATTTACGTAAAAATTCCCCAACTGATTTTGAGTCAGAACCACAGATCAGAAGTATAATACATGATATGCTTATACTGCAAATAAATTAAGCCAAATACAAGAACCAAAATTCATGTGATTTTTTTTCCCTCGGCAAAATTACTGTCTGTGAGGTTTTGTTTAGTTTTTGAGAGAGAGAGAGAGAGAGAGAGAGAGAGAGTGAACATAAGCAGGGGAGAGGCAGAGAAAGAGGTTGACAGAGAGAGAAGCCCAAGCAGGCTCTGTGCTGTGAACACAGAACCCGATGTGGGGCTCGAACCTGATGTGTGAGGTCATGTCCTGAGTCAAAATCAAGAGTTGGACACTTAACCAAGTGAGCTATGCAGGCGCCCCGTGAAGCTTTTTTTTTTTTTTTTTTTTTTTTAGTTTATTTTCTTTATTTTCGAGAGAAAGAGAGGCAGAGAGAGAGAGAGAACCTGTGCAAGCAAACAGGGAAGGGGCAAAGAGACAGAGACACAGAGTGAGGGAGAGAGAGAATCCCAAGCAGGCTCTGAGCTGCCACCACCAGAGCCTGACACAGGGCCGGATCCCACAAACTGTAACATCATGATCTGAGCCAAAATCAGGAGTCAGACATCCAACTGACTGAGCCACCCAGGTGCCCCTATGAGGTATTTTTCAAACCTGAATTACTTTGAATTTCTTTCTTCTTTTTGTCAATCTAGAACGGTCAGTTGGAGTGTGTACGTTGGATGGTGAGTGAAACCGAGGCCATTGCCGAACTGAGTTGTTCTAAGGATTTTCCAAGCCTCATTCATTACGCAGGTTGCTTTGGTCAGGTATGAGGAATTTTTAATAATCAGATTTATAAGCAGTCGCTTCATTGTAATATTTTTAAATGAAAAACATGTTTTAAACAACCTAAATATTCCATAATAAGATATTGGATAAATAATGAAGCTACATACATATGATGGAATTTTATGGGAAAAAACATTTATCATAAAATATTGAAACATATGCTATAAAACCATTCCTGTAATTTGGTACCAACTTTGAATTCTAGAGAAAGAGGAAGAGACGTAAATAATAAGATTAGAAAACAAGCTGTGTCACAACATGTTCACAGCTGTTACCACTCAAGGCGGAATTACAAGTGGCTTTTATCTTCTTTTTTGTATTTTTCAATATTTTCCAAATTTCCTACAACAAATGCATTTAGCTTTCGTCAAAAGGGAAAATGATACATTTTCTCGTACCCAACATTAAAAGGAAAATCTTCAGTAAGATATTAATCAAGGAAATCTCTAAGATGAGCAAACACACTAACTAGATCAGTCGCAGTTACAACCAGTTTCTACCTTAGGAAATCCCAGTATGAGTAGTTGATGTACACAGATCACAATCCAGGGTGTGGAGTACAAAAATCATCAGTAACTCCCTTTGAGAGGAGTAAGTATAAATTATATTTTCTAAAAAATTGGAACCACAGAGTGCCAATCTCAGCCTTAAAAAAATAAATAAAGTCAGCACTGTATTAAAATAGATTTAATCATATTTGTCTGTGGCAAAGAAAATTGCTTCTCATGCCTATAACCATATCCCCTTTGGCTTCATGAACCATCCCGGTGGCAGTAAATTGTGGTATTGTCAACAAGAGATTAAGCTTTTCCGAGCATGACAATCTCAAGTTCAAAAAATACCCTTGGAGAATATGACTGCAGTCTTTCTTTAGTGCGAGTCCATGTTAGGTGATAGTTTATGTTGTACCATGGTAACTTCAGTGAATATAAATTATACACAAATATGTATGTATGAGTGTGTGTTTGTATGTATATATCCCATGTATATAAATACGACCTATGTATAACATGTATGTGACACACATATACAACATATATGTATATGTTAATATGTAACGTTCACTCTGTGTGCCAGGCACCAAGCCTTTGGAGTTTGTGTACATTATCTCGCTTATTCTTTAAAATAACCCTGTTGGATCCTGTTGTCTGTACCCATTCTGGAGGTGAGAGTCAAGGAAGAAAGTTAAGTGGCTTACACTTATCTTGTTCCAGTGCCTAGTAAGCAAAGAGTGCACCTCAGCTCAGGCCCTCTGATTTCAGGACCAGATTCTGTTTTGCATCTGCCTGTGTAGGCAATTCCTGTAGCCCATTCCCAGCGGCATTGACCTGAGGAAGACTTTCTTACAATTCCGTCTAACAACACGTGGTGATACACAGGTCATCGAAGTCAGTACCTGGTACTAAATTTACGACATGAAGAAAAGAGCAGAAAGAACGCTGACAATTTGTCAAAGCTACTGTCTTTGAAAGAATTACTCCATTTTCTCAGTGTCCTGTCGTGGCGAGCCCCAGTCACAGTATTCCACAAACAACCATCACAGTTCCTAAGCAATTGCTGAGGATGCCCTTTTCTGGCTTGTACTGGCAAAGGGGAGAATCGAATTTTCGAATGACCGAAAGAATGTAATCACCGATGATCTTCCTAAATCATTTTCAGCATAAAACTGAATGTAATTTATTCCCAAACCGTCTGAATAATCATTTCGTGTTCCTGATTTCATTGGCTTATCTAAAACCTAGCAAGGAATTTTCCATCCCCGGGGAAAGGCTACCTGTGCTTTTGGTAGAGCTTGCCAAAGAAAAGGAGGAAGGGATTGCATTGCTGTTCTGAGACTCTAAGTAAATAATTGGGCCCCTGGCATTCTTTGTGTCGGGAAATGCTGCTTATGTGTGCCAGCTTCTCTGTTCGCCTCTCGCAGTGGGTTTCTTGTAATCGTGAAGCCATCAGGACCAAAGAAGCGCACATGTCCTTTCTGGGACTGGTTGGGTGATGCTGTGGCCTACTGGACTGGACTAGAGGAAAATATGGAAATCGGGGACCTCGCAGAAGAGCCACGTCAGACGTTTGCCTCACGCTAGTATCAGTCTTCAGGCTGTTATTTCAAGCTGAGAGGCCTTTTTAATGACCCGGCGTACGGCTCTGAGCAGGGCAGCCCAGCAGCGCCTTTCGGAGGGCACTCCTCCCCAAGTGGAAGGCATCGAGGCCCTTTAGAACCACGAGTCCTCCTCTGCCCAGCCGTCCCGCATCCGCCACAGGCACTTATGTAACAGGTAACCTGTGGAGATGCTGAACTTGGAACCGCTACAAGGCTAATATTTTCACAAGGAAGACTGTTATTGAACATTTTTCTAATGGATTCAGCACATGCAGGTTTTTCTGCATCAGGCAGGCACTTGAGTGTGCTCCGCTTTTGTTTCTTCAGTAAATACTGCTGGAAAAGATAGAACAGAGGAAAATTCCTCCCTTGGTTTATTTTAGTTGCCCTCTGCCCCTCATATAGATTCTCAAAGAAGGGGCTCTACGTGACTCCCAATTTGTGTCCTTTTTCTCGCAAAAATTACCTTAAAGACTCCGGTACTGCAGGGCAGCCGGCAGATTTTAGCGGTCTCCTGGAGTGATAGATCTTGGGGTGATAAGAATTGATTTTCCTCCTCTTGACACATGAAGTCTCAGAGGGTGCAATTATTCCATTGCCTGATCGTACGGAGCAGCGCTAGCCACAGGGAGCACGGAGGTGAAAACTGCAGGGAAACTCCCGGAAAAAGCGGGGATGTCCTCCAGTCGGCCTGCTTTGCTGTCCCTGGAGAGAGTTGTTGCCGGCCAAACAGTAGAGACAGAATTGTCTCATGTCAAAGCTACCCTGTGTCACGGGCGCTGTTTTATTTCACCACGAAGGCTCTGAGGGTCTGGCCCACGCTCCCAGCAAAGCTGTCGTGCCCTCAGCAGTTTGGGGGCTTCAGCCCATTCTGCACCGGTCATTGGTTCAGTGGGTTTTGTGTTCCTTGTGACCGTTGTGTTTCTGAGTCTCCCCTGTCACTTTTGGTAAGGACATCCTGCTGTGAAAACAACCTCCCTCATAGCACTCAGCGTGTACCAAGAGCACCTTTGTCTACACTGGGTGCATTCTGCATTTTATTTTTTGTGTTTATTTATTTATTTTGAGAGAGCGCAGGGGAGGGGCAGAGAGAGGGAGACAGAGAATCCCAAGCAGGCTCCACACCATCAGCTCGCAGCCTGACACAGGGCTTGAACCCACGAACCATGAGATCATGACCTGAGCCGAAATCAAGAACAGGATGCTTAACCAACTGAGCTACCCAGGCACCCCGCATTCAGCGTTTGAAATGTTGGCCCTGACACAGATCAAAACAAAATAAAACAAAACAAAAAACAAAGGGATAGAATGATCAGGGACAAGTTTTGAAAAAAAGGAACAGAGCAGCAATTCCTACAGCGATAGGCATGCAGGCAAGAGGCTACATGCGATTGTTTTTCCACGATCGACTTGAAAAAAGCAAAATATTCTGTGGACTTGATTGTTTCACTGTCACCGGATAGAAATAAGAAAACAACACTCAAAGTACTGAGATTGCAGACAAAAGCAAAATAGAAAAATGTCTGATTAGCCGAAGCACCCATCCGCTCTCCAGGGACTGATCTTTGAAACAGCGTAAGCAACACAGAGCTCCATAAACCCACAGACTGATGGGCTGTTAATTGTGCTTTCTGTGACCCAAGCGTGCAAAATGAGTGTGTCCATTACGGATTCAGGGGTCATGGGTCAGTGAGTGGCTGCGGATACTCGTACTGAGTAGACAGATAGCAGAGGCCTGGAGAACAGCGGCTCCGTGTCTGATCTTAAATCCTAGCCCTGCCATTTACTAGCTCAGGGGTCTTGGAGACGTTTATTATTATTTTTAAATAGAAAAGATCTCTCTGGACCTCAGTTTGTTCATCTCTAACATGGAGATAAAAGTGGTTTATTTGCCAGGGGGCAAAAAGCCGCATGAACACTGCCCGTTGCTTACACATAGTAGACATTAGATAAATGTTGCTTCTTAGGATTATTGGGTATCTTCCAATTTCCTGTTTTATTGATCTCAATATTGTTCAATTGACTTATTTCACCATAAGTAAAACATAAGGGAAACTTGACACTGAATTATTTAGGCCTTAACCTGTTTAACAAGTTCTCGGATACACTTTTTGTTCACATTTTACCGTCTCTGGATTCTGCATTTATCTTACAATATATGACACCCTGAAATTGTGGCTGGCCATTTTTTTACATTTTAACATCTCAAAAACCAGACTGAATTCTACCTTTGATAGTATATTAGATTCGATGATCTCTGATTGCAGAAGAGGGTGCCTCCTTTGGAACTTACAGTCATAATGAAAACTGTAGACCCTTTACTGATTGAGGCCAACAAGAGACCTGTGGAACGCTTTGCAGTGACATTTTTTTATTAGACTTTGTCCAGCAAATCTCATAAATTACATGTATTAATTGCCCCATGAAACGACCTGCATTGCCTTTAACAACACACAAAACGCCCCAATAAAACAGATTACCAAAAGAGCAGAAAATCCCCAGAAGAGAAAACCAGGACATGAAGGAAGTTTTCAGTCAATAGATAAAAACCGAACGTCTAGATGAGTGTGTGGGCGGCTGGGTAGAATGTTAAGTTGGAGAGGCATTCTGTACAATGGAAATAATCCAGAAGGGCCTCTCAATCCTTACAACTTCACTGGATGTTCTCTGAAAGCAGTGAATTACGGCAAAATGAAAATCAGAAATGACATTTTTTAAACACTTCCCTGACACACACAACACACAACACACACGCAGGCGTGCGCAGAAAGAGAGCGCTAAATGTCTAAGAAGAGAGGTGGCCCTCACTGCATATGTATATTTAATACACATGTATCTCATAAGGCCCTTCTCAGTTGGAGAAAATAGCTGTATTTTTTCTCCTTACTAGATATTGGTCGAGTAAGTCACTCTTTACGTTATAGTCCCATCGATTTCTGCTGGCATGTTCTCCCGAATCAGAGCAGAAAACGGCATTTTCTCTGAGACTGGATGCTGACCATGCTTTTACCCAAACCCGGGAATTCAAGACCTTTTGTTTTCATGAAGTTTATCAAACAACAGGCTGATTCTGTAGCTTCTTGTTAAAGTAAATTGCCCACTACCAAACACAAAACTGAAATTTGAGGTGCTGGGCAAAGACCTGCCTTGTTCTGAACAGTAGAATAATGGTTCTTCCTTTATATAAGTCTTGTGTCTTGAATTGGAATGTAATTATAAGGGAGAGTTATCCATGGCATCAGAAGAAAAGAAGGCAGGTTATCGAACAACGTGGATTGAATCTGACTTGAAAGACCATCAGGAGCCAAGGCAGCTCTTGCCTTATACAGACCGTGGCCTGTCTGCCCAGATTTTCAAGCCCCTGCAAAGTCGAGGTGTCCAGATTCTTCTCCCTATTTTTACAGGGGAAAATGTCTAGTCGTATGAAATGCTATATCCTATTTTCTACAACCCTATCATTAATATAGAAGAATAGACTTCTCCACTATGCTATTAATTGAGTCTGAAAAATATGAAAATGTGCCTGACGAGAAGGTACGCATAGGATATTTCTGACTATCTTGCGTTCCCCTGAACTTTACTTGCTAAAGAAGGGAGCTGCTAGAGTATCAGAGAATATATACTTGTCTTCTTTGGCTTTCTGATTGGTAAAACAAGGGTGTTCGAATGGGATGACTCCTAAAATCTCTCCCACTCTGCCATTTTAACATCCAATGATTGAATATCATAGAGCAAACCAGGTCACCGCATACCTGAGAATGACCCACCTAGATGACAGGGCCATCTTTTTCACCAGTCGAATCACGACAGCCCGCCCTCTTGATGTTTCCATGTCTTATCCATCGACTTCAAACCAGTTGGTTATGTTTGTTAACCTGAGATATGTCCACTCACCCAGGTCTTCCAAGATCACACGGCAGAATCATCTGGCTCCAAATAAAAGTAATACCCCTTCCTCATTAGGAAAAATAAAATTGTTCTACCTTGTGCCTTTGAAGCATCACCTGCTCTGATCCAAATATCAGCCCCAAACCCCCATCCACGTTTGCCTCGGAAGACGAGGACAAGCGCTTTAGTCTACCCTTATCCAGATTGTAGCTCCCAGCCTGGCCTCCAGGGCCTTCCTTCTCCACCTCATTCTCCAGGGATGTTCAGGGTTTGATGTTCTACAAGGTCTGTCTGCTTTTGCCGCTGACACCCTGCTTTCCCTGGGTGCCCTCTTGGTAGTTTATAGGCATTCATTACATTTTTCTCTTCTTGCTCTTTAGGGGTCTTACTCTCTGCTTGCTCACATGGGAAGAGTGTGGTGGGAATATTCATTCTGTCCCTGATGTCACCAATGCCTTCATAAACAGTGCCCTGCTTCCCCCGTGAAGGGCGAAGCCCTGAAGGGGTTGGCTGTTTTTATCCAACATTCCTTTAGCAGATTAGTTGACATGTTCAGAAGGTGAAGGCAAATTTAATCCAGAAAAGTATAAAAGTTCATGACCAGTCAGAGCAAGTAACTGGAAAAAAAAACAAATCCTTTAGAAGGCTAAGGAGAGGTTCAAGGCTATTTCAAACACATGATCATCCTTTTAAATGTCAAATTCCACTCACTAAACTTCACGCTGTTGTTTTTACCACTCTCTTATTTTTTTTTTAACATTGTATTTAATTCTTCTATTTTAAAACAGTGAAATCCCATCCCCCTGCTTTCTCCTGAGGCCAAAGATAACATGAAAATACCACAAAAGACCCAGTGGGTAAAATGCAAACGGATTTTGGCAACACACTGAGCACTCTGTGTCTTTGCTCTTGAAAGGTTGTGCTCAGACATTGGGTGAATAACACAGAATAAGGGAAACCTTTACCTTTAAAACCCCACCAACATTTGGTCAGAAAAATCCAAAAGGTCCTGGTTTTATTTTGGTGAGGTTCTTCTGCTTAAGCAACTTAAGCTGTTGCCTCTCTCTGACAGCCTGTTGATTGCAAGAGGTCTGGGATTAGGAAGGCATGGTTGAAGCATTATCAACTTCAAAGGATAAGTTGCTTATCTCAGTGTCTGAGGTTTTATAATATTCTTGAACCCTAAAGACGGTGTAACAAAATAACACGAACATTGCCTTGGCATCAAAAGACTTCGATTTTGGCCCTCACTTTGGATCTGTCTAGGTGTGTGACTTTGAGGAGGTACTCAAATTTCTACAAATCAGTTTTCCATCTCTAGTGGATGTCAGTGCGACAAGAACGTTTCGGACATAAGTTCCTGCTCTTAAGAGTCTCTGAGCATTCCTCTTATGTTGACTTGAGTCAGAGAGAAGCATGGATTTTCAGTTCACAATGAATGGG